GTGGCAAGGGTTTAGCTCTGATCGACAAAAAATTAAGAGATGACAAATTAAAGCCTAAAGAAATTGGTCTTAAATCACAATCTCCGTTACCAGCTAAATTACTAAAACAACGAGCAATGGGGAATTCAGCTAATCAAGTGGTGCCAAATCCTCATGAAATCGTTAGAGTCGAGGGATCGAAATCCGATAGTCATACAAAATTATTATTACCAAAAAATGATACATTAAACAAATTTTGGGCTTCCATAGATCCTTATTGTGCAGATATTATGCCTGATGATATTAAATTGTTGGAAGAATTAATAGCTAACCATGGTGATATTGGAGAGTTTAAAAAAATTCCTGCATTAGGTCGGCATTATAGTTTAATGTGGGCGCATAATGATTTAATACAAGAAGAAGACGCGGGAAATCCAAATAGAGACAAAAAGAAAAATAGAACAGATTTTTCTCTATTAATGTCAAAAGTAGATAAGAAATCAAATGGTAATTTATTTTCTTTGTGCATTGATTATTATTTTACTCTCATTATGCTAAAAGTATTTAAATTTTTTAGGCATAGCTGGTCCTCTTACACAAAGGCTTGTCTCAGCGCTTCTAGAAGAAAATGTTTACGTAGCCAATAATAATACGGATAGTAAATTATTTCGCGACGGGGATCCTCCAGTTTTGAGAGACTTAACAATTCAAAATTCAATGAATCTTGAAATGAGAATGCACAAGGAATTGGTGGAGCAAGGAATTCTTGAACCAGATTCGCAAAAAAAGAATCAGGATGACGATGAAATTGTAGCAGAAATTAAAAGATGTCAGCGAGAATTAACTGCTCTCTCTAGTCATAATGAAATGCAGTTAAAAAGATTGCTTCATCTTGCTCAAGAGGAAAGTAAACGACAGTCTTTAAAACGAAAAATTGGTGCAATCGACAATGAAGTTGTCGAACATTATGAAAAATTACTTTTAGCAAAACAGAGAAAAGTACCATTGACTAGAAAAGAACAAGAAAAGGCATGGGCTTGCTTAAAGGAAAGAGAAAATCTTCTTGAACAATTAAATATGCTACCATCTAATAGTATTGGTGAACCTATAAAAGTACTAAATGATACTTTAACATAGTACTAATTCATCGCGAATTATGCAAAACTTTAGTTTTGATGCCAAGAATAATATTCTTGTATCAACTTACTGTATTGAATTTTGACTAGGCAGCCAATGATTCATCAAAGCAATGATGACATTAAATTATGTAAAATCAGTATCTAAAATATTTATAAACAAACATTTTATTTCCAACAGCATAGTTTTATCATTAAAAAGTTGTAGTATAAATAATAACTCGTGTAAACAACATTATCCATAAGAAGTTATTTTAAATTGTGCAGCATTACTTACTGACACAATCAATAAACTGAAAAAAAACACTTTAAATTAAAGTATAAATATATGTAGAATCGAGTATGGCATAATATTTGTGAAAACCACTTCTCGATTCTTCCAAGTCAAATAAGTGTAATTAATAGAAATTGTTTAATTATATAATTAAAGCAAAGGTGATACAACGTAACATAAAAAATTTATTGTGACTTGTATTGTCAATAGGTTTGAAAAGCTTACTTTTTAAATCAATTATAATTAAACTTGCACATTTACAAATCATTTTAGCATTTATAAGATATAAGTGCAGACAAAAATTACAAATTTTGTAAGTAGAAGACTAAGTTCATATATTCTTTAGCACAGGTTAAATTTTGATGGCATGGTGTATATGCATATGTATATATATATATATATATATATATGTATGGATATCTGATATATTTAATATTTTCAAATTAGAAAATTCGTATATCAATGTATAAGAATGTCACAACTTTCAAAAAATGTAATTTCAATTTAAACTTTTGTAGCTCTAACTAATAATTATGCAAAATATTATGCCTCATCTGTAAAGTATATAAATTAAAGAATCAATATTTTTTAAAGTCTTATCGAATCTTTATGTTTTAAAAACTGTTTAATCAATGTAATTTATAATTTATTATATAATATTAAAAAACTATGTTTACTATAATCATTATTCTGAAATATAAATTTTTTTTCTTTTTTTTTTTGATATAAAAGTTCAAATTAATTACTTAACAATTATTAAAAATAAAAATTGCATTGTAAGAATATGAATTGAATTTGTAAGATTGTCAAAATGTATTATTTCATTTGTTATACATTACACATTTATCTTTATATTTATGTATCATAAATAAAAATTGAAAATAACTGCAAATAAAAATTAAAAATTTTAAATTTTATTTATATGTAAATGTATGAAAAGGTTGATTGAAACTAAAGGCATCTCACGACAAAGGTGTTTATTCGATATCACTGTACAGATTCCTCGTCAAGAGTTACCTCGACACTTGCATACACAACAGCACAACAATGATGAATTGCTTAGGTAACAAAAGTGTGAAAAAATTTTATCTTTAATAATCGCATTGACACTAGGGCATTTGAGTATGTACGTGTATGCGCGTAAAATGGTTCTTGATAAATTTGAGACGAAAATTCATAACTTCATAACAACATGAGATAAGCTACCAGATGGTAAACCATGAAATGAAATTATTGAGAACAAGTTCATGACTATTTTAGAGGAATTTATAAAACGACTTATAATCTTCTTGTTCTCTGTTTTATAGACAGCCCAGCGTTTCTTTTTCTTTATATTGTCGCACTGTTGCTCTTCATTGCAGCAAATCGCTAGTTCCCGTAATATCATGGACTGAACCGCATACCAGAAACAACTGCCTCTTCGCCGAGGTCAGAGGATGCTGTCTTGGCAGTGATGCTCTAGAACTATTGGTATTTTTATGGAAATTTTGACTTAGAAAGCAAAGAGAATTAGAAACGCCATCATAAGACAGAAAAGCCCCATGGCTTCTGACAAGGCAAATCCTAGAATGGCATACGAAAAGAGTTGTTGTTTAAGAGATGGGTTCCTGGCATAACCAATAATAAGTGATCCAAACACTGATCCAATACCAGCACCTAAACATTTTATAAAAATCAGTTATTTCCTTAAAAATAAATTACAACTTGTCAGCATATTACAAATATATAACTTAACGTACAATTACTACAAAATTATGTCAACTTGAGACATGTACTTATATTATGAATTTAAAAATGTAGTTAATTAGGTCTCTCCTTATAAGAATTCAAGCAGCAAGCAGGAATAAATATGATCAAAATGCAAAGAATATAATAAAAGCCAGCGTTTGACAAATTAAGCCCATCACTTAGGTTACAGCAAAGCCAAGTAGTGCATAGGAGAAAAAGTTCTACCTTTAAAGGATTTCTTACATAACCAATTATTAAACTCCTAAACAATGCACCAATACCAAATGATGATAAAATATATGGGAAAAAAAAAGAAGAAAAAAAAGATAAACAATACACAAATAAATATGGACTGACAATTATTAATACCATGCATGAAAGCAAATATTCATATTATGTAATGATTGCATAATCTTCATAAATACTTTCAATGACAATGTAGAATATTAGGATATGGGTATTACTAAAATCAAAATCAATTTCAGATGGGTTAAAGTTATTAATCGATAATGGTGCAAAGGTTAAAAACCTTCTATAGCCAGATTGCTTACCAGATCCTGCGACTCCGACAGTGGCAGCGCCAGCACCAATGAATTTGGCTGCAGTGTCGATGTCACGACTGATCGTCGATGTTTGGAAATTACGTACAGCCGGTGACTGAAAATATTGAAATTAGAAAATACTTCACCAACTAACTCCATTAACTTAAGATAAAAAGTGCTACAAGCTTGGCTTGCCTCTTCCTTACATAACTCAGAAATGTTATGCAATTAGAAATTGAAGTATTAATGGAAAAGAAACGAATATAAAATAAACGGAGTTAGAAGAATGAAAAAATTGGAGATAAAAAAATATACATACTAGGCTGACTGGTGTTTGAATTTCCTGGCAATGTAGAGTTTGATTTTGGTTTAGCAACGCACTGCTTATGGGCCTAGCATAGGCCTTTGTGCCAGAAACCAGCTAGAAAATTATGAGGGAAAAAACGATTCCAAAGTGAATACTTGAACGGAGCTATTACGTAACGAGAAAAGTGTCGGAGGTGCTTTTACGTCGCCAATAAGGCAGACGACGAACAACCCCCGTGATACTCACGCTAGACCTTACAACCGGAGCGATGAATCTACTATAGGCGAACATGTTTAGCTTGACTCTGTCTTCTCACGAATAAACCTGCAACAAGCCGCAGATGCGTTAGGAGGTACCTGGCGGGAGGTCGAATATGAGTTAAGGTCGAGGGGAAGGAAAATGTTCAAGTTATTAAAATTACCCTCCGTGCGTAAAGTATTTTAAAAAATGGAACAAAGCGCGATGGACGAAGGCGGTTTAAGGTCAGCAGCGAACGGTCGAGACGTTGGCTCACCCAAAGTGACTACCGAGCGACGACGGCACACCGAGAAGGAAGAAGAACGAGCGACGATGAAGAGCGCGGATGTATCACCGTGGTACGGCGGAAAACGGTACTTTGCGAAAGAGTTACGTAACGTCGGGGCGGCCGCGCGCGCACGTGGCTTTTCGCGCGTGAGAACCGATTTTCCCCTGGAAGAGCTAAAGAAAATTGGGTGCAAGGGCCAAAGGGATCGGCCCCCGAGCTAAGCGGGGATGAGGCCACGGAGCGAAAGCCCAGAAGCAGCGCGTGACTACTTACTGCAATGACACGAGTGCAATTCACCGGCGATACTTTGTCTCTTTAACGCACCCACAAAGTGCTTGAAAAGAAGAGAGAAAATGGCTGCCGTTGGAAGCCGTCATAGCCGTCGCAAGCGCCACCGTTCCCGCCCCTTCCACTTTTATCTTATGCTTTAACCGAATACGAATACACCGCCTTTACCTCCACCTCTGACTCCGTGTCTCCTATCTTCCTCGCTGTTTGGCATCGTTGACGACGACCGATAGACTCAACAAGCTTATAAAAGCATATGCATTATGCCTAAAGCAGCGATGGCAGCGATATCAGAATATACCGACTTATTATCGGTCTTCTCACTTGGTGACGACGCCACTAGGTAAAGGGTACGAGGTTCCTCATATTTATTGTAAGTTTTCATGATGGAAAAAGACTCCCGATCAACGAATCCGCGTCACTTTGATTTTTATTATCCTGCGATTGTTTTATTTTATTTTATTTATTTATTTTTTTTTTTTACGATACTGCATAGCTGCCGTTTCAATCGTCTCAGCCGTTTCCATTTATCCTTTAAGCTGTCTCGCCTAATGCCATTTATATTATTGAGTCGATTCAACTTGCTCGACAATATTCGAATTTCTTGCACATACTTTCGTAATAATTATAAAATTAGCAAAGCATTGCAACAAATTAACAATAAGAAACAAGAAGCAAGCAGCAAACGCGAATTATCCTTACTACCTCAAAATGTTATATCCTCTAACATGTATATTATTTTAATCTGGTTGATAATAATGATTACATTATTTGTCGTAGAAATAAATTATTTTCAAAATGTATGTAGTATTATGTAGTATTTACGTACCAGATAGCCAGTTTTTCGAATGATTTTGATTAAATTGCAAAATAATTTTTCTTTTTTTTCGCCTCGCCGCCCCCCCCCCCTCCGTTCATTTCATTTCAAATTTAATTGAATTAATTTTATAGCGACTATTTTAAAGAAAGGACGGAATACTAAACGGACGTTTTACAAAATTGGCATACACTGATGATAACGGTGATTTTTATTTCGAATTGTGCTGCACTTTAAATCCGAGGACTTTAATTACAATGTCTTCGCATACTACTTTCGACAAAAAACGTTTAAAATAGATGCTCTCATTTATCTGACGAAGGCGTGATGATGTGGATAAAGGACAGAAGGGAGAAAGGGAGGAAGGGAAAAAGTCGTTCTACGAATGGGTGTGCTGATACAGTGGAAAATTCACTGGTAAATTACTGGTTATTAGTAGGCGATTAGAGGTATTCTCGGTATTAGAACACTATTGATTAAAATCCAATATTTCTCGCAACGAGCCGGGCAATTAAAAAAATGAGTACAGGACAGAGCGATGAAATTAAATGTTCCAGAATCGCGAAATAAATCAATGATTCGTCTCGTCTGTTCGCCGTTTTACCAGACTTCTGATGTTTCTCCTGATCTCTCTTAGACGCCTCCCGTCGTTATTTAACGTTATTTGAGTACGTAGGAACGAGTGGACCCTGACTATGTACTCGCCAAGCTTCTAACCTCAAACATCATTGGCGTTCGACCCCCTTAAGTACTTCGTCGGATGCACAATTTAATTTTCAGGGCTCGCACTACAGCCAAAGCTTAGGATAGATAAAAGCAATTCTTGCACTTACCAAATAACAGAAGTTGAAGAGAGGTAAGTAGAGCTGCCGGCTTTTGGAATGTTGAATTGCCGAGTGCGAAAGCCTTGATGAGCAAAGAGGGACAGAGGGTTTGAGTGCAAGTTGGTGGGGCAGTTTTCATAAGACATTCGAAACAGCAAGTGTATCCATTTGCGTCAGGCGCAATTGAAGTCTGAGCTTATTGGCTAACCAACGAATAGTGTGCGTAATATAAAATTCCATTACTCAATGTATGTATATCGAGATATGTAACAGCACGGCCCGTTGATTAGATGCACGAACTTGAAGAAACAGAATTATAATCTTATCTACGGGAATATATTTAATAATTTACTTCATTTACATTTAATTCTTCATTACTTTTTTTTTTTTTTTTTTTTTTTTTTTTTTATTTATTTATTATTCATTTATTTATGTTTTTTTTTTTTTTATTCTGTTTAACATAGAATCATTTCAACTACATACGAGTGAAATGATCCCTCTCGGTATAAACAATTTGATTAAGGGCAGTACTCTTCATTTGCATTTGTCCGTTGATAAAATAAATGGTGCGGTATATTGATTTTGACATAACATCTCGCTTTAATAACTTTACATCGCATTAATAACTTTTATTAATATGAACTGTTAATTTTATAGCTTGTAGTTGACAAAAGTCAAATCAGCGGAGAAAATGAATCTCCCATGGAAAAGCAATGTAATTCTCTATTATTAAAATTAAATAAAGCGTTCGGTAAAATTCGTATTATCAAAAGCGCGCGCGCTCTCGCGAGAGCCAATAAGCCGAAATTTTCGTTTACGTAAAGCTTAAATAGGCGCGCAATATAATCGAACGAGCGGTGGTAAGGAAGAAACTCGTCGCAACAACCGGACCAACCGAGCTTCCTCCCGATTTCCCCTGATACTACATCTTGATACTATTTAGCCCTTTCTGTCTCTTTCCCACACTCTCGCGGCGCGCACAAGCGAGAACGTGGGTTAAATGGCGGCGCGTCGTACATCACGACACGATTCACAGCTCGACGCAAGCTCTTATCGATCGACCAATTGAATATAGTCGGCCTGGGGTTGAGGGGGAGGTTGAGGGGGGAGGGCAATGCGTCGTGCACGCGCGCATGCATGTGTGTATTGATAGCGTGTAAGCTTCTCTGGCGCGCTCCCTCCTTCCTTCCTTCCTTCCCTCTCGCATCGCGGCCTCTTGGTTCGCGCCGCGGCTCAGCGACTGTCCTGATCGAACGTGGGGATTCTCTCTCGCTCGCCACGATTTCGCTTTAACTTTTAATGAACGTCGCGCTCGGGTCTTCCACAGTGTAGTGAGCACACGCATCAAAAATCATCGCGAGGCATTTTCCATCACCCCCTCCCCTACTCATCCTCCTCGTCAGCCTCTTCGGTCGCGGATAGTACGACGACCTTCGGCCCCCTCGCTCATTTATTTTTCCCGTGGCCTCCCTTTTTTGTTCTGTTTTTCCTCATTTCGACCCACTCACTCGACTCCGTTCGTGCCTCGCGTTTCGTTCTCGTCTGCTTCGACTTTTCTTTTTTTCTCCCGTCTCTTTGATCCCGCATCATTATCGCAACGTGGTCATCCGTCCTTGTTCCGCTAGTGATTACTCGGCTGCCTTGCAAATTCGCGCACGTTTCGCGATTTTAAGCCGCCGATTTCCCCAACCACCCCCCGCCACTATCGTCATCGTCGCCGCCACTGCCGCCGCCACCGCCGCCATCGCCGCCGCCACCGCCACCGCCGCCATCGCCGCTGCCACCGACACCGACACCGACACCGACACCGACACCGACACCGACACCGACACCGACACCGACACCGACACCGACACCGACACCGACACCGACACCGACACCGACACCGACACCGACACCGACACCGACACCGACACCGACACCGACACCGACACCGACACCGACACCGACACCGACACCGACACCGATACCGACACCGTCGCTGCCCACCCCACTCTATCCCCCATTAATATGGCCGTATTCATGTTAAACGTCTGCAAATTCAACTCGTGCGGCCTGACGTTCAAGAGCCTGGGACACTTGATTCAGCACATCGAGGAAACGCATATCGGTAAACCGTCGACGAGTTTGCGCTCAAGAGGCGGCTGCGTTTTATGTGAGCCGGCGAGAGGGCATTTAATCGTAAGCTCAAGGAGGTTATCTGGGACCTCCTCGAACTACTTTATCGTCTCTCGCCTGGATATAAAACTTGTGTTTTATTACTTACTTCTCATTTAATAAATACGAATAAGTTCCGATGACTCGCGATTCTGGCAATAAATTGCATGGCTTTAACAAGGGCTGAATTTTTAATTCGTCCGGTCGATTTTACTCCTTTGAGTCGCAAAACTTTTTATACGCGAGTGCTACGGAACCCCCAACTTTGAAAGTCATGTCGCGATAATTCTTTTATTTTTTATTTTACCCTCCCTCCCCCCATACCATCCAACCCTTGAAATAAACGCGTTTTTAAAATTTATTTTATTTTCCACGCTCCTCTCTCTCCCTCCATATATATATATATATATATATATATATATATATATATATGCATGTATGTGCGTGTGTGTGTGTTGTAAATTGAATGATATCGTTGAAGCTTGGCTTGGAAATAATTTGACAAAATATTAATTTAATCATTGTCGACTCTAAGCAAAAGCCAATAGAGATGACAAAACAGAAGCCTGATACTGCCGCGTGAAAGCCCAAAATACGAACAAATACCAATAATCTATAATATTATATAAATATGTTTAATAATAGGTAAATGTTGTCCATTATCATTCAGGAATTTCATTGAATTTTTAATTGAATTTGTTAATTTTATTATTATTATTATTATTATTATTATTATTATTATTATTATTATTATTATAAGGTTTAATGGCCTGTCAAGCTTCGCGAGATCTTGAGATTGTAAAATGGTAGCTTAAAAAACTTATTTTTGTTCTTTTCATCCGTAAATCTAATGCTGTATGTGTTTTTATTGCTCGGGTGATTGCTACGGTGAGCCTATTATAATTACTATCATAAAGTGTAATAATAGTAAACCGCTTAAAAGACAATAGCGATGTAAAGAAGAAAAAAAACTGTTTACACTTTTCAGATTACGATCCCCATGTTGTGGAAAAGACGGAACAGCAGCAGCCACCTTGCATACCATTGAGTTATGTTCTTCGTTTCTTGACGGATGCCGCGAGAAGGGAAAATATCAAGCCTGCGCAACCAACCAGGCCCAATCAGTCTTGCCTCTCTGCCTCGGCGTGTGTGAAAAGTCTCACTCCGACAGGTAAAACTCGTTCGATGCGGATGAAAGAAAGAGAGAAGAAGAGAGACTTATTATTTCGCGTTCTTCCGCCCACCCGAGCGAGTAACGACGTTACATTAAGCACATTATAGGAAGTGAGGCAGAGGAGGGCGAGGATTTTGTTAGCGAACCAGAGGACAGCAACGATTCTTGGACTACTTTGGAGGAGTTCTCGACCGATTTTATTCTTCGTTACGGTAGCAGGTACGGATTGAATTGGTGAATATCACATTGCATTATTATAATTTTCAGGATAGCCACTCCATTGTTTCCTATAACGATTACGGCCGAGCATTGCATGTATGGGAGAATAGTGGCACAATAGTTATTGTAAAATATTAAAGAATTAAAAAACAAAATTAAGTGGTTGCATTCATGTAATATAAGGCTCCCGTGCGTTTGGTTTGAAAAGATCAAGATCGTTGGACAATTTTACAATTTCTTAGGTACACTATGGTCCCATCGATGAATCGGAATGACTAATCGTAAGAATTTTTTTAGGAACAACGCAAGCCAGAACGTAATTAGTCAGAGTAACAAAGACGACAAGCCGTTCGCTTGTCCAGTGCCAGGTTGTAAGAAACGTTATAAGAATGTCAACGGAATAAAGTACCACTCCAAAAACGGTCATAAAAATGACGGCAAGTACGTATAACCAACGAGCGCACTTGTCCATTAGTATGTGCTCGAGGCTCGCGATTTCTTATTCTTAGATATAAGAATATTCTCATCACGTCTAATTCACTTCGCCTTTCATTAAAAGGATACGGAAGGCTTTTAAGTGCCCTTGTGGCAAAAGTTACAAGACACCCTACGGCCTCAAAAATCACATGGCGATACGTCATAACGGGAGCACGCCCCTTCAGGTGAAGCTACCGCATGCGTCGAGCAAGCACAGGTTCGATAGTCAACCCGATGAGCGATCGTCCAGGTCCGGATTCCACAAGATGCCAAAGATGAAGGTGTCGGCGATCCAGGATCACGGCTATATAAAGCAGGAACACCGGCCGCCGTACTTGATACCTGAAGGGGAATGCGAGCCTGGCAGTGGCCTAGGTATCCTAACACCGGCCTCATCGCCGCCATTACCGAGCCCCAGTCAGGTGAAAACGAGCTCCGAGCCCTTCTATCAAAAGGAAAACGCCGACGTGAACTCTAGTCAAGGGCAAAGTGTCCTAAAGTGCATTAATTAATTAGCCTTCCTATCCAACCCTGAATTGAGAAGTGATCGGGAGGATCAGGAAGTGGAGAACGAGGGGGGGGGGCTACGGTCTCCTCGTGCCAACACTGCCCTTCCAAATGCATTGCCGAATGCCACTGCTGCACTTTGTTAGTGCTCGACATTCTACCCAAAAGCGAGCTTCTAAGTCATGGGCACAATTATATGTTTTTTTAATTATTATTACTATTACTATTATTATTATTATTATTATTATTATTATTATTACTATTAATACTTGTTGAGACGTGAAGAGAAAAAAAATTATATTAAAATGTGACTTCGTTGATTTGAAAACTTACTCTTGGCGATCATTGTTGGCAACTACACGTAGCGCATATACTCGGTACATTGTTGATTTATTATTATTATTATTATTACTATTATATTATAATATTATATTCATAAACGTTGAAAAGATGTAGAAAACAATTTTATTACGAATAAAAAAAAGACAAAGAATTTATTGTAAAATTTCGTTAAATGATCCATCCATTTTTTGTTTATTCGTAAGTCTCGTATTTCCTACTTATTACGCTCTTTTATGATTATTCCTGTTGATTTTTGTTTCGTTGTCATCTTTGTAATATATATATATACATATATATATATATATATATATATATATATATTCCAATTAATTATTCTAAATATGTGTTTAGAATAGAAATAATACCATTAAGTTTTGGTAAAAAAAAATAGGAAGAGGCAAGGAAATGGAATGAAAATGTTTGAAAGACTGATCTGTAAATATGATATTTTTCGTAAAATTTTGCATTATTAATAAGAGAATGAACCTATGACTTTATATTTCGATTCAAAGGATAGTAATCATTTCATATAATATATTAAAGTTCATGTTACTTTTAATCGCTTAAACATACTAATATCAATTTTAATAATTACAAGCATCTTTACGTCCTTATGTAGTCAGCCGAGTACAAACGCCACTTGAAATTCTTGCAGCTTCAATGTATTACTTTGTTTATATGTATTTATATGTGCTCATTTACACGTGTGCGTGTGCGCGTGTGTGTGTATGTAATTTTTACTTTTTTTATTCTTGTCCGACGACTTATATATTTTGTTTATCAAATGCATGTACATTGAAGCCTATTTTCAAACAATCATTCATCGCATTTGCACCTTTTTAACTCGTTTGCTCTCTATCGTACGGTCGCTCTCGCTAGGCAAGATTATTCCAATATTGCGATATACGTTAGAAAAATATGCTATGCCTAAAATAGGATAAAGGCCTGAAGGCAACCTCTCGTCGTTATTACCGATTAAACCGGTGCAGTTTTTCTTTACTCTCTTTTACACGTAAACTTTTGTCTGTCTCTCCTCCCCGCCCCTCACTCTCATTCTCTCTCTCTCTCTCTCTCTCTCTCTCTCTCTCTATCTATCTATCTATCTACTTGCTTTTTAAGTAATTTATCAATCTTGCTTTTCTTCTTTATTAATTTTAATTATTGCGGAGGCGCATAGAATCAAAAGAATTGGCGACATTATCAAGGTACAAATACATAGCTATATCAAACGACAGATCTAAGCACTTCCCGTAAAATAAAAACGCTTCATCGAGCTTCGTAATCAATAAGGACAAAGATGCTATCTTTAATAATCTGACGTTACAATTGGCATTGCTTAAACAATCGTAAACAAAAAAAACAGATAATATATTTACTCGATTAATCCTTCGTATTTCCTTTAAGAGCGACAGGTGTTGATAATGGAAAGAAAAAAATTATTAATTTTTATATAGTTCAGTTTATTTACAGGAAGACTTAGTCTGTCGTACGCTCTACAATGAAAAGAAATAAAAACAATGTCGATTTACTTTCCATTATTTAGACAGTTTAGCACAAAATCTTGTGAGAAATAAGGAATTCTGAGCACTCATTTAAAATAATTAAACGCGATTAAAAATATTTTTATAATCAAGTGAATAAATACATTGTTTAAAATATGCCCTTCAGGTACATAAAAACAACGGGAATACTCGTAAATATTTCATTTTTAATGTTTCTCTTGAAAAACCACAAAATACTCTAAAAATCTGAAAAAGCGATAAAATTATTTAAAATGAACACTCGTCCTTGGTAATTAGCAATTATAGTTATTCGCTTGAAAAAAAAAAAAAAAACAATATTTTTCATTTGTACTAAAAGTATTAATCGATCAGTGAAAAAGATGAATCGTTGGTTACATTATACGCATGAAATGCGAACCTAAAACTTAAAAAAGCGGTAATGTATCGAACACCTTGTCTCCATTAAGCTTAAGATATATCCGACGAGACAGACGTTTTCTTGGCTGATTGGAGTCTGCGTCTCATTGTTACGATATCGACGATTCATGTTTCTCAGTCGAAAATTTATTTTCTTTTAAACACAATAACAAGCCAGCGTTCGATTTCTGTTACTTGGGTTTGAAGGCTCTTTATTTAACGGGAGAAACCACAAAGTTAACGTATCGAATTGAAAAATCGTGTCCTCCGTACTGTCGGGCGGGAGGCCAAAAATTCGCTTTTATGCGCGCGACCGCAAAGTCCTTAATGCAACCGTTAAGAGCCGCGAAACAACAAGATTACGTAGAGTATCATAGGTGCATTCGGCCCTTTTTGCTGTGTCGCTTTTAAAATTTTTTTCACACCTAATGCCCGGCCTCTAGATTTTTTGTTTTCTTTCTACTAACCATTATTTAGATTTATATAATATATACCTAAAAATTGCAGCGCTGCGACGCAGCACCAAAATACTTCGCGCAGCATTTTTTCTTACCATTTTTTTTCTTTTATCTAATATAATATAACTCACAAAAAGGAAATAAAACAAGCGAAAAATGAAGAATAAAAAGAAGAAAACGAGAAATACCAACACTCGACTCCAGTCGTCGCAACAATACGCAGGTTTATAATAATATATGTATATATTTATGTATAAGACACACACCGATCCACACAAAAAGATCGGAGAACGAGGAACGGACGCGCTATCGTCGGAAGGATCTGTCGTCGGATGCTTAGCAGCAAAGAAAGTCACGCGGATGTATACGTGTAGCGGTTTCTTTTCTTATTTTTTTTTTCTTTTTTTTTCTTTTATGTTTTTTTTATTTTAAGAATAACGATTTTTAACGTAATTTCAAACAGTATTTAATGAGTAATAATGCTCGTTATATTCTCGTGAGATTGGACATAAACACACAGTACTACTTATATTCCATTGCATTATGAATCAATCGGCTAATATAGTTAATAATTATTAGACTAATCGTTTAACCTAGAATTGTGATCACCCATCAACGTCAGTCATCATTGTCTCAATGTAACATATCCTCTCTTCCAGACGTACATGCCCTATTTCTCTCACTCACCCACTATCTATCCACCTCTCGCAATACTCAACTAATTCATTGACACTATGAAAAACAAAAAACAATTACGAGTTTCGAATTTGCTCCTTTTTTCTATATATATATATACACATATACATACATATATATATATATATATATATATATATATATATATATATATTTATATTTATATATATATATAATCAATGGACTCGTCTTTCAATAACAAGATAAACCATTTCGTCGCTTTGAATCGACTGACTGCACCAGGAATTTATTCGTCTACTTAAAATAGATACTTTTTTCCTGCTCCTAAAATTTTCTCACATTTCCTTCCTCGTTATTTCTCCTTTTAAGTAAATTAATAAACGTAATATAGAATGATAATTATAATAAACCGTAATCATAATAATAATAGATAGTAGTTGTAGTAGTAGTAGTAGTAGTAGTAGTAGTAGTAGTAGTAGTAGTAGTAGTAGTAGTAGTAGTAGTAGTAGTAGTAGTAGTGGTAGTAGTAGTAGTAGTAGTAGTAGCAGTAGTAAGCTGACAGCAGTTAGTAACCAGATATTTTCTTGTATAAATCTCTCACTAGTTGAAAATCTGACAATGGCACTGGCAACCAAAATTAATTTTTTCGTTTTTGTTCAAACTCACTCATACTCGTACGCCCATACACGCTATCGGTATCTTTCTTTCCTGCTTTAACCAGGTCTCCGTATAATATTTATTTAGTCTACGCCCGAAACCCCGTTTCTCCCATTGTCATCTTTCGCTTGACAAATTTGTTCTCTTTCATTCTGTTAATTCCGCTCGCGCTCATTAGCACATTTTCTCTTTCTTTTTCTCTTTCTTTCTTTCATGTATATGTCCATCTGCTTTGTTCCTCGATGTGCAATCAGCTGCCAGATAATTTATCTCGTTTTCTTCGTGTTTTTTATATTTTGTTTATATAGTTATATAACCATTTTCCCAACGACTACACACTAAATAGTTCAAATTTTTTGCACTTTTTCACCAACAACAACTGGATTATTGCGCCGAATTTCTTGAGCGCCCATTTCTCTGTAATCAAACTTGCAATCGTGTTTGTCACTGTATCGGTGCACAGAGCAAAATAGTCCACCACATCGACATTCAAAACCTATAAATTAAAATTAGCATCATTAGAAAATTTTACATCAATTTTCAAACTCTATTCTAATTTTTAATTTTTTGCTCACTCACCAGTTAAACCTACTTTCTTGCGACAGATAGCACAACGGTTTTTCTTCTTTTTAAAGTCCTTATCAGTCTCTTTTCCATCAAAGCAATCATCTACATCTCCACTGCTTACCGAACCTTCTGCAGCTGCACTACTATTTCCTACTTCACTCTCTTGTTCATCCCTGCTTACCTTTAAATACAAGTTAAATGCTTTTAAAATAACAAATAAGTATCTCATTAGTTTGTTAGTATTTTTTAAGGTTAGATTTTAAAAATTGATCTTAAATTTTTAATACTAATATACCATTATAAAGATTAAGTTTTAATATCATTTTATAAAAACTGAAATTTAATAAAGAAAAGTTGCTTAAATTTTGTAATTAAATTTCTGAAAATTACTTTTTCCAATACAAAACATGTTAATTTAAAAAAGAATTTGCTTTTATTGGTAATTTTGCTTGTTACCATGGAAACTATTGACTTATAAGACAACTTAAAAACTCAATACAATTTCATATTAAAATGAAATTTTATACAACTACAGGCAATATAATAAAAGCGTTGTATAATAATAAAATTTAAAAAAAAACTCAAAATAACTCACTTCTTTTGAACTGGATAGATCTGTCGTTGGCTGGGGTATGGTCGGAATGGTAGGCTGGGCAGTTGTACCAGTGGAGGCAGGGCTGCCAAAACCGCTTTGCAACGTTCCAGCGTTACCAGAAGCGGTCTGTGAGGCTGGTACGGATGTCGCCGATACAGGCGGTTGTTGTTTCTTTTTGAGGTTCTCCTTATAGCAAAGAGAACAGAGGCCATCAGTGGCTGGTGAGCCATAAAAACCACAGCCGCTTCTACACAGCGCTTGCATAGGATTTGACTCGCGCTCCATGTTGTATTTTCTTTGTTTACACTTTCCAAGAATACAATTTCCAAGTTAAGTGGTAGAGGTAGATTTTAATAAACAATTACTTGAACACCCTAACAGTGGTCGACTGTTCCACAAACAATAGTAGCAAGTCTGCTGGTCCTGCAGCCTTTGCACTATCGATTGCTCCTTCGTATTTGGTTGTCACCACGTATTCACCTATAACACATACGAGTTGTTTGTTGAATTTGGATAGAATGCTTAGGTAATTATTATTATGATAATAATAATAAAAAAAAAAATTATATTAAAGTTATATATTCAAATCAAAGTACCGATGCACAGCACCGCATAATTATATACTATTGGCGAGTTCGTCGATAAAATATTCTTCTGAAATTTGAGTATGATCAAATTGTAAAACATAAAAAAAAAAAAAATTAAAAAAAAAGGGGGGGTATATTCTCGTTGAACAGTATCATCTGAGAGAAAGGTCACGTCATCTCGTTGGTCAGGAAGTAATACACATATTAATAGCGCGATCAAAGTTAAAACGTACGGAGAAAGTGATAGGGGCTGGGAAGAAATAGAGAAAGAGGACGAGATAGTTTAGTTACTTGGTTCTTAAGAAGCAGAAGCGAGAGTATGCATGCACGAGAGAGAGAAAGCAAACAAGAGAGTAAGCGCGCGCACACACTCGCAGATGCACGCACTCGCGTGCTCACATACGCACAATAGAAACTAAACGTATAAAAAAAAACATTATTCGGGAGCCAAAAGTCGCCTCGTCCTCGAGACCACGAGGTAATGATAGGCGTAAAGAGAAGACGAGGGCAGCAAGCGCGCAACCAACTTGCACTCACTTTCCAGCGCGCGACCGTCGTGTTGCAAGAACAGCAGCAGGAACAGGAGAAGGAGCAGCAGCAGCAGCAGCAACGGCGGCGGCGGCAGCAGCGGCGGCGGCGGCAGCAGCAGCAGCAGCTACAGCAGCAGCAGGATCCGAGGTACAACATGGAGTATAAGAAGACTGACACTGCTCACTAGCATTTAAGTATACAGCGCCGTATTCCTCGGACGACGCTAGCTACGTCGTTAGAGAACGAGCTCTCGCAGCCGTGCGAAGCTCGCGCGCCACCTCCTAGGGACCCGCGCCACCACCACCTCACGACGGCGTCTCACGCGAGACGCACACAACACTCGTTTCGTACGAGCGCGAAAGAGAGAACGCAAAAAACTCGACGTAACCACTCGTGTGCACGCGCGCGCGCGCGTGAGTGCGTGAGTGCGTGCGTGATGCGTGCATGCGAGCGCGCGCGCACGCGTTTCTGCCCCTCCGACCAATCAACTACGAGTAAGCGAGAGAAGAAGAAAGAAGGAGAGAATAATCAAGTCGAGACGAATCGTCTCGTCTCTTAAGCGCTCATTCTTCTCCTACGTACGTCGCCTCATTTTCCCCCTCCCCTCTCACTCTCTCTTTTTGTGTATTCTTCCTTGTAGCTCCCCGCGTTTCCGAGTAGGCCGATGTCCCCGTGGCTGTAATTTCGCGATGCCCACAATGACCGCGGTAACAGTGACAACGTCGAAGACGAATACGACACGATGACGATAACGACGATCGCGACGGCGGCTTGAGTTACGAGGCACCCGTAACCTTAACTACGCTACTGCTTCGGGTCTCGCCTTCTCCTCTACCTACAGTCGTAAGCACCAGGGAGGGGATGTAAAGTCGTTGCCTCACTCTCTCCTCTTCAACGACTCCCTACCATAAAGAAAATAAACCACACTAACGTTACTGCTGCTACAGCAGCTACTGCTCTTACTGTTCTCATTGTTGTTGTGTTATTATTGTTGTTACTATTACTACAGCTGCTGCTGGTGGTGGTGGTGGTAGTAGTCGTGGTGGAGGTGGAGATGGTGGTGGTGGTGATGATGATATTGTTGTTACTATTACTACAGCTGCTGCTGGTGGTGGTGGTGGTAGTAGTCGTGGTGGTGGTGGTGGTGGTGGTGGTGGTGGTGGTGCTGCTGCTGTTATTATTGCTGCTGCCGCCGCCGATGCTGCTGCTACTGCTGCTGCTACTGCTGCTGCTGTTGTTGTTGTTGTTGTTGTTTTTGTTACTACTGCTGTCCCCATTGCTGTTAATATTATTACTGTTAGCCACTATTACCTCTCCACTTACCTGGCACTTTCGAGTGAATATGAGATTATATACGAAAGATAATGAAAATGACGATACCATACTGATGATACTACGACAATGATGGGGATGAATAGAAAAAGAGAGGAAGAAGGCAAATGTCACAAATGGATAATATAAAATGATAAAAACGGACAAATAATAAAATTGCATTGTTTGAGTGAATTGCTCGAAACACAAGGAGGAATTGCTTTTGTACTGCTTTTATCTACGTCCTCTCTGTTTGTCTTATTAATTTTCCCCGTTGCAAGGTATCGTGAAGCCGAAAAGCAAGAACAATTGGTAATTAGACCAGCGAGCAAAAGAATTGCTGCCCGAGCGCAATATTATTCCATTTCCTTCCCTAATGTAAATGGAGAAGAAGTGGAGGGAGAAATAGAGTTATAGAGAAGCAGGCGAGAGCTTTACCAAACGCAATCTTTAAGCGAGGCAGCTTTAATGAGTGACCGAAGTGGATGAACAAGGTTGCAAAGCATAAACTGCTCACACGTTGTCTATAAGAAACGAGGAAACTCGTAAAGCTCGGTTGGCACCTCTCGATTAATAAAAGAATTGGTGCGGGGTACCACGGCGATGACTATACACTCCTGGTAATCAGATGGCGCCACTCGTATCTCTCAGTTCGTGTTACGCGCTACCTAAGGGCACATTCGTGAAGTTGGCACGTCGACCGTCGATGAACGTCGGTCGCGCTATTCCAGTCGTCTGCGTGGACCCTACAATCGCGTCGGAGCAACAAGCGAACAACGAGTAACTTGGAGTAAGGGCACTTCGGCTAATCCCTTTCCCCATCGCACCCCCACTCTCAACTATGTCACACTCGCAATAAAACCATATGTTACGGACACACTCGCATGGGCAATAGACGCAAACCTCATATGAATGATTTAACAAACAAAACAAAAGAAAAGAAACGTGTCTTACTGTTCAAAGTTCTTGACCGCCTCTTTCTCAACCTCAACCTCCACCTCCACCATCACCTCCACCTCCACCATCATCTCCATCACCTCCACCTCCACCATCATCTCCATCACCTCCACCACCACCTCCACAGCACCCGAGTATTATCCAATAACTATGCAAAAAGTAGTATGTACGTATGCGTGTACAAATGTCGATTGAGTCGTCTTTTGTTTTCACGTGTAATTGCAACATAAGCCGGAAAAATTCTCCTGATCATTAATTCAGTTAGCTTTTCTTTCTGTCACGGACCGCGCTTGCAAAAATATCTATACGTGTAATTACGGGAGTCTATTAGACAAGTTTGACCTCATTTTCCGAATTAGTGACTATTCGTACACTTCTCGCCTAACTCAAATTCAAATTTTACTACGACATTGTTTTCTGCTTTCGCTTATTTCTAAATGCATGCGCGCGCCATGTTTCCAGATTATGTAAGAATTTTGTTTTGAATTACGAACGAGCACGAGTCACAAAATTTCGCGTCGGACGACCAGCTTGCCCATCGTCACATTCAGTATTCAGCTTCTAAACATTCATTCTTTAAAATTTATTTAATTTATTAGCAAATTGCATCTCAAATTTCAAAGAATAATATTATACGAAATTTGATCTATTTATTGCAAATGTCTTCGTTTGGAAAGCTCCCCCTCCCCCCAACCGCCTCACGTAACTCGTTTTATTATTGAGAGATTTTGAGTTAATCATTTCTCATTGAAATCTACAAAAAGAACAAAAATTAATCGACTATAACTAGTAATTATTTATTCTATATGTAAATTCAACTCGTAATTCCGCTAAAAATTTTCATTCTTCAATCGAACAAAGCAGATAAAGGAAAGGAAAAAAAATTAATATTGAACGATCTGTGTAATGTACGGAGGCACGTCTATTAGTTAGTCTTGTATGTCGTTCACCGTTAAACCTAATTTATTACGACCTTGATTTAGAATTTACTTTCTTTCTAGCCTTGACATTACTTTTTAGTATGCATTGACTTTACGCTATTTATAAATCGGGGGCGCTCGCGTTTCGCTATCATTCATTGTCCGTGTGCGGAAAACCATCGACCGATTAAAGAGGGGCGGGAGAGGAAGAGGGCGAGGTGAGTGACGAGACGCGAAAACCGTGCAAATCTTTGTCCCGCCGTTTACTGGCGCGCGGCCAGCAGGAGATGACGTCTTTTAATTGCGTAGCCGATTGCGTTGGGCGGTCTTCTAAGGAATTTTTGATATTTTCAAGCGCGGGCTATGTAAACGGCGGAAAAGAAGAAAGGAATTGGCAACGGTAATCCGCGCGCACCTAATTTGAATTAACCTCGGCAACTAGAGAAACAAGAAAAATGGAATGATATTGTTCAGAGCTCCTTCCGTTCCTTATTGTTACTTAAGGTTTTCCTTTTTTTAACCCGTACCAATAAGACCCTTCGGTGGACTTTAAAACACTACATGGCTCGCTTTATAGACTTCACAACTACCGTTTATTTAAGCTTCACACTCTCTCTCTCTCTCTCTCTCTCTCTCTCTCTCTCTCTCTCTATATATATATATATATATATATATATATATATCACTCATAAATTTTTGTTACCGCGCTGCATAAAAAAAAACAACAACAACAAAGAATGCTTACATTAATGCTGTTTGTTTTTTAATCAATGCTTCTTGAATTTTATCTGATTATTCTGAAAATTATAAAAATAATAATTGATCGTATGTTCAAACTAAAGTAACTTTTTATCCAAAAATATATTATTTCAGCGCGTCTTTTCTGCATAAGAATGATCTATCACGCTTTATAACTTTATCTAAAATACGAAAAAAAATGTTTATTCTATTTTTTATACAAAAGCACTAGAAAAATTTATTTTCAAAATGTTTAAAAAGTGTGTGGAATACGGATACGTTTGTGTATACAGGTATGCGTATATATAAAACGTACAGAGCATTTATGAAATGATAGATTTTTTAATTCGTTATTCATACTAGAAGATTAAATTAGAAACAAAAATAAACATATTGAATAAAGTTACTAGAAAAAAAACTGAAAATTCTGGTTCCT